GCTGGGTCACAGGGTTTCCTGGGCAAAGAAGAGGTGTCATTAAAAATATGATAGACAGGGCACATCGAATTTGTGGAGCTCAATACCTGCAGGGGGAACTGGATCATGTTAACATGGTTTTACAAGCAATCCGCTATCGCAGGAAACAAATAGAACAGGTTTCACAACAAAAAAGAAGACCGCCGGCAGGAGACAAGGAACCACGTGAGGGAGTCACCTTCCTACCATACATTAAAGGCATCACGGATATAATAGGAAGGTTGCTGCTGAAACACAACGTTAAGACCATCTACAAACCGACAAATAGAACCCAGCAACTCCTAACATCAGTAAAGGACCCTAGGAATCCCCTGAGCGGTGCCGGCGTATACAGAATAACGTGTTTCTGTGGTAAAGTATACGTAGGCACCACTAAACGTAGCTTCCGAACACGCATCAAGGAGCATGAAAGAAACTGTCGACTGGGACACACTGATAAATCAGCGGTGGTCGAACAAGCACTCGAAGACGGCCACAATGTTCTGTCCGACCAAACTGAAGTCCTATCAACATCCACCCACTACTCAGCCCGAATGAACAGACAAGCAATTGAAATCTACAAACACAATGATAATTTCAATAGAAAAGATGAAGGCATTGCTTTAAACAAAACGTGGTTCCCAATTCTAAAAAACACAGCGCAAAGGTCACGTCACTCAAGAGGCCCAGAGTACCCCGCCGAACTCCTATAAAACCGCACGCTCATCCAGTTAACCCATCAGTTTCAGTCGACCCGCCAAGCCGAGCACTTCGCTCTCGCCGACAGCGCCACTGAAGATGATTACCGCAGACGTAGCCGAAAGCTCTGGACCAAATCCAACCCGACCACGGCTCAACAGCCCGGAAAACCTGAATTACATTAGAATTAGAAGTGAAAGCCTTCATTCTTCAACTTACAATTAAATTTGTTTAAACACAATACCCAGGGTTAATAAGAAAGTATATCTGTAGCTAAACCTCCCCTTTCATAGCTGTTGGCTACTTATATTATTTTTCACTGATACGAAAATTGAAACGAGCCAGCGCTAACACAGTCCCACACAAAATGTAACCTTTGCATCAGAAATCAATTTTCGAAATCAAATTGCCGATACTGGTCTAAACATTGAGTGGGCTTGCCTTTTAAAGTAATTACTTCCATCCAGGAATATCCAATCATTACAGATATTTACTGGAGTTTTTCCAATTAATGTCCGCTGCAGTTGAACAAAACGGATCTCGTATTGGATCAACCGGAGCAGTTAAGGTTTATATACCTGCAGGGATAAGGTCGCCATCACGATGTGCAGGTGGCACTAAATTGAAGTTCGATATATAGAAAATAAGTGCATTTCTGACAGCCGGTCTGGCCAGGATGATTCGATCAACGGTAGTGTAGAAGAGAGATAGCCTAGGAACATGGCGTAGAAGATAGCTGTTGAGATGAGTGCTTTGATTGCAGAGGCGCTTCCGATAATGTGTAGAAATAGATTGACCACAGGGAAAAATTAAAATTGCCGCTAGGCTATGACGGGTTGACGACAATTTTATCAAGTGAAGATAAAAAAATTTCACAAAATAGTATGGTAGTAAAGCAAAAAAGGATACCGACAACAGATTCCTATTACCTAGGTTTGTATATGATATACAGGGCGAATCATAAAACAGTGGCAATATCAATAAGGCATAGATTATGTGTATCGTAGAATGCTATTCGGTAACGAAGCGGGCCACCTGTGAAAAGTAACATGGATCCCCATCCCCAGACCCTGAGCTATACGAATATCTCATTATGCTTTTTATTTGCTAGTCATTTTATTTTTGGGGTATGTGGTACTTCGCGTGTAGGATGGGGTGGGATGTGTTCTAGTGGACCGGACTTCGAATAATTCCGATTGAACTTTCTTACTAGGTAAGTCGTTTAATCTCAAATTATTCTTCAGTCCGGTCCACTCGAACACATATCGTAGATGTTTAAAGTATTAAATGAGCTTGCAAATGTCATTATGTAATAACATAAAGAGGAATTAAGGAATAATAAAATTATTAGATATGGATTGAATATAAAGTATTTTAATACAAAATGTGAGAACAAAAATTTTTTCATATATTTCCTTAACTTTCTTTTTATATATATATATATTAATTAAGACAGAACAACGTAACAAGAAATAGAACATACTATATAGAAACGTCCTTATTCTAAACCTATATGTTATAGATCAACAAACGTAACTAGAGTCTAACACAATATTTTAGTAGGTAGTAATGTAATTGATCCCTGCGTGACCCGAGTTGTTTGTTTTCCGTACCAACTAGTACGTTATTTATGAAAAAACTGCTATCTAACGGCCTGTTATAAAACTTAAAAAACACTTTAGACCGTTCTGACCAGCCTACTGTGGCTCTTAGAGTTTCAATGCTACTACCTGATTTGTAGGCTGCAGAAACAGCTGCATGCCTAGTACTGTACCCAGAGAATGTACCAGTATTGATTCCAGCCAGGCCTATAATTTTCTTTAACCACCTGAAAAGAGTTTGAGTCGAGGCTGGATGGTACGGTTTTTTAATGGTCAAAAATAACTCCCGTATATTATTTCTTATGTTCTGGCTTCTACTTAAATATTCTATCAATGTGCTAGATAGACATAGCTCTGGGGTCTCTCTAAAGAGGGAGTCTCAGTCTAGGTTGGATCCTACCGGGGCCTGATGTTTTTAGGATATCCGGTATTAAAATCTCTATGAAGTCAGTTCTTTGATAAATATTATCTATTTTAATTTCTGAAAAAGTTTATAATCTTTGTGCTGTGCCTAACGCGAACAGCATAACCAGCTTATAGGTTAGGTCTGCAAAGCTTAGGGAAGAAAGGGGATGTAAAGATGTCAAATATACAATTACGGGATTTGGGTCCCAAGTTGCTTGACATTTTGGGAACACAGGTTTGATCTTAAATACACCTACTAATAACTTTCTCATCAACTTTCTTATTTATAATTAAATTAAGAGATGACCTAAACGTAATCAGTGTTGTATAACTAGCACCCTCCTTATAACTATTATCTAGAAAATCAACGAAATCTGCTGTTGGGGGATTAAAGCAGTCTACTGCTATACGGATGCAAAATTCCCACCATTTTTTATAGGCGGTATTGTATTGTTTCAGTGTATTAGGATTTAATGAAGAGATAACTACTTCTAAAGCTGATTCCGTGAGTCTTCTTGGAGCAAGAGCTTCTCTGATAAAATTCCTGACACCAGGGTAAGCTTTGGCCAAAGCGGATGTGGTTGCCTATTTGGAGATAATAAAAGATTTCTATTAGGAGTTAAATAACCCAATTTTGACTTGACAATCCTATTGAAAATTGGGTACCAAGGTTGTACCCTCCACGGAGAGACCACCATTATCCCCTCCCCCCCATCTTTGATAATTTTATTCAACGTTCTCATTATCAAAGAAAATGGAGGGAATGCATAGAAAAATATATTTGAGCAACTTATCGTAAAAGCATCAACAGCTATTGATTTCGGATCTTTTTTCCAGGAAATAAATTGTTTACATTTACTGTTTAGCTGGGATGCGAACAGATCGATGTTAGGAAGGCCAAAAGTGTGAACAATTTTCTTAAAAGCTAAAGAGTTTAACTCGTATTCAGTTTCTGAATTAAGCGACCTTGATTCAAAATCAGCTACCACATTACGAGAGGATTCAATATAAGTTGCAAAAATATATATATATATTTAGACTCACACCACTGCCAGATTGCTTTCGACAACTCAGACAATTTCTTATATTTTACACCTCCCATACGATTTATGTAGGATATGGCGGTGGTATTGTCAACTTTTAACAAAATGGAGCAGTCTTTAAGGTCTCTTGCAAAAGATCTTAGAGCATTATAGGCTGCTAGCAACTCAAGGTAATTAATATGAAATTTAGATTCCTGTAAACTCCAAAAACCCTGTGTAGATTCTGGACCTGCCGAGGCTCCCCATCCGACATTTGAAGCGTCGGAGTAAATTACCACTTTATAATCCTGAGGCCTAAGCGAGACAAGTGATTTTGGAATTGCCGTCATCCACCAATTTAATTCTCTTTTTATTTTGAGTGTTATTATTATTTTGGAGTTAGAATTGTTATTCGAATTTTTCAAGGCTAGATATTTATATCTTTCTAAGCATTTTGTGTGCATAAGACCGTATTTTATAGCAGGACAAACCGAGATAAGGTATCCTAAGAGTCTTGCAAACTCTCTTATCTTTCAACTGTTAAACTTAACAAATAATGTGTCAATTTTCAACAAGATATCATGTCTTTTGCTAGCTGGAAGTGTCATGCACATATTTATGCTATCATAAAGAAAACCTAAGAATTTGCAAATATTACTGGGTATTAATTGACTCTTTTTGTAATTTACAACAAAACCCAAGGATTCTAAGAGTGAAGTGGTTACGTTTATATTCGTCCGACACTGATCTATACTATGCCCTAACAATAAAAAATCGTCTAAATAATTAACTGAATAAAAACCTTTCTTTCGTAAGAATGAAATAACTGGTTTTACTAGTTTGGTAAAAATATAAGGGGTCGAGCAGAGGCCGAACGGTAAGCAAAAGAATTCGTACAAAACCTTGTTAAACGTAAATCTTAAATATTTCCTATGTTTTTTGTAAATCGGTATACAGAAATAGGCGTCCTTTAAGTCTAGATAGGCCATATATGCTCTGTTGGTAATTATGTTTTTAACAATTTTATAATTTTCCATTTTAAAGTGTTGGCTTGTTACATATTTGTTTAATTGTTCTAGATTTATAACAAATCTCTGATTTCCGTCTGGTTTCTGTATTAAAAAATATGAAGATAGAAATTGATTTTTACACGTTTGACATTTATTGATTGCGCCTATTGCTTCTAATTTATTGATTATTTCTTTAAGGTTCTTAAATTCTATTTTACTGTAACTTTTGGTTTTTGGCAGGACTAACTGTTTAGGAGTATGAAAAAATGGTAAACGGTAGCCAGTTATACAGCTCAGAATAAATCTGTCATTCGTTATAGATTTCCAAGGTTTTTGAAAATACTTTAGTCTACCGGCAAATAAAGCAATACTGTTAACATTTACCTCTACTGAATTTGTCGGTTTCGCTAATTGTATCTGGCTAGGTTCCCTCCCGATGATCTCCATTGATTTCTGTTTCTCTCTTGTATTCGAGGATCCTTTCTCTTGTTTAGTAGAAACTGACTCTTCCGAAAACGTACGGATGTTTTGGGGCGCTGCCAGTTTAAATGGCTCCTATTAAAGATTTGGCTGCTTACAGGAACTTTACTCACCTGCAGCTCTACTGCAGATTTATCTATAGTTTGATTAATTTTACATTTCTCCATGAATGTTTTTCCAAAGAGAAATTTGTCCATTTTAGATTCTTTGGCTAGTTTTTGCATGTCAGATTTCAAAAGAGGATAGACCTGATGTCTACGATGTATTGGTAACTGAAAAAAAGCGTTGCGCTGAAGTTTTCCTGCTGTCATTATTTCTTTTAGAACATTAGGGAGGTCTGCTATATCTAACAGTTTGCTTATCACTGATGATAAAGCACTTAAGCTGTCAGCTGTGTCATTTTGAATATGACACATAAAGGAATCTTTTTCTGATGGGTAGGCGAAAGAGGTGCTAAAATCTCTGGATTTAAGGTAGGTGAGTTGAAAGAGCTGCAGTTTTCAGGTGTTGGCCACTCGAGCCTTATTTTTCTTTTTCATCGCTAGACATTCCATTGGTTGCGTAATAATTTAGTCTAGAGGCTACCTGAGCACTAACTGGTTTGCCCATAACCTTAGGCATGCATGGATCAGTTCCCAGGATTTTATTTTATTTTTATACTATCTATTTTATCAGAGGGTATTGGAGAAAGTTCTGCTTCTCTGTGAACATCGACCACTACAATATTACCCTGATTAACATCGCTGTGATCCGAATCTGATGAGGAAACACTTATGCGGCGAATTCTCTTTCTACGGGGTTCTATATCCTGGTGACTCCCACCGAAGAAACAAGAATGCCAGTTTTTCATTTTTAATTCAATATGTCTAAATAGCGAGAAGGGCCATTCAAACTCTGCTTAGTAATTTTGCAAAGACAGTAAATCACCTCGACTCATAATGGTATGTGGGATATTTACAAAAGCAGTAACTTACAAAGAACAGCGAGCAAGGCTGTTTTTTAGTTATACATACACATACATATGTGTGGCGAGTAAGGCCATTTTAGATAATAAAACATTCTTAACATGATGAATCAAACGGCGAGTAAGGCCGTTTCCTATGAGAAATTAACCTTTAAGTAGTAGAATGCTAAATTTCGCGTACAAATCTGTAATAACAAATTCACCATGTCGATATAGATGACGCCTAAGGCCATTTTCACCATAACCACGTTTCCCAGATACACAAAACAATAATAAACATCGTACTTACTTGTAGAGACGCCCTGTAGCATTTCCTCTAATTTCTTCAACATTTCTTTAATCATAAACACACGTTTCCTATTTGACGACATTGTGAACACGCAAAAAAGTTAAACAAGAGGCGACCACACTCCATCGCACCAAAAAGCATAATGAGATATTCGTATAGCTCAGGGTCTGGGGATGGGGATCCATGTTACTTTTCACAGGTGGCCCGCTTCGTTACCGAATCGCATTCTACGATATGTGTTCGAGTGGACCGGACTGAAGAATAAAATTAGAGTTAGAGGAGGCAGACTCCAATGATCTGTTAATTCTGAATCCATGTTGTTCTCCAGTTATGCTCTTATTAGGTGATGGTATTTCACCATCTCAAGGGGAGGTTGGGGAGACACTAGAAGCAGTGGGTATGGTCCGTCTTAGGTGCAATTAGGTGTTTCTTAACATTTTTATCCAAATTAGACTTCAGACGAAAACCCGCCTGATTAACCCTCCTCCTGTATACCTTCAAGGTGGATTAAGACTACATCAATGGCGTAGAAACTGGGAGATGTTGATCCCAAAAGAAGAAAAATGGAAATTATACCATACAATTTTTATGTGAGGAATTCAAGTTTAGACGAATCGTGTTTCTTTAGAAATTTTTGTCAGGCTGCGATATTTGGGTAAAAATCCATTTGAATATTTGAGGTTCTGGTTTCAAAATATGCTGAACTTGGTAAAGTTTAACATCAAAAAGTATATGTAGAACAACATTCATGGTTGTTTCTCATTTAGTCTCATCGGTCGCTTATGTTTTTAAATTATTTTTTTTAATTTTTGGCGGCGGGCAGACGATTGAGCTGTAGAGAGTATGCCATTTGCAGAACCTTACACTTAGGGTATAAATATATAGACCTAAGCATTTTCTGCCTATGCTAGACAAGCAGATCAGTGTCATATGTGCCTTGAAGAATAGTAGAGACCCTGAAAACTACCTCTAGAATTGATCGAAGTTGGGAAACGTGAATATGTATTTTTTCTTCGAATCCAGACCATCATTTCGTCACTGAAGAGGAAATGTCCACTACCGACCCACTATACACCGCGCTTCAGGAGGACCAACCGCACAGAAGCCAGTGCTGTAGGCACGCGTTGAAAGTAAAAAAGGTGAAGTCCTTATATTTATGATGAGAGATCTAATTATTCATTCAGTCATCTACATCATATCATAAGTAGAACTGAATTGTACATTTCTGATAAAGAAAAATGAAATAATGGAAGCTTTTAGAGCGTAGCTGCATTTGCAGGAGGAATCGTAGCTGTTCAGTCCTTGAATTGCACTTACACTTAAAGTAATTTAATTAAGTGATGCTGAAATGCAATTGTGTCAAATGAGATTACTAAATATACGCTTTCGTGTATGTTCTAACTTAGTGGACGACAAATTCTCTACGAATTCGAGTGGAAGCGAATATACCTTCTACTAAGCCTGCTGAAAAATACAATCTTGGGTAGTGAATTGAACGAGATACTAACGACACAATAAGCTTCGAAGATCGTATCGCTTGAATCTTCATTCTTTTCTCATGGCTTAATGAAATCATATATGTAGGATCGACTTTTTACTAAAGTTTCGGCCACAGTTGACGTCTTTAATTTTTATTTATAACTTGAGTCCACAGAGGTGGCCAAAATGTTAGACATAATAACACAGTGACTTGATTAACAATCGTCTTAGTAAGTGGCCAGTAAAACTTCTAGATGTATACGAATGAAAAGAACAGGAACAAATGTTATATTGCGGTATCGCTTATCAATAGCTAATGGTACTCTCTACTAGTTATTTGTTTACAAAAATGTATTAAACTGCTTTTAAATATCTTTATTCCTATAGGATTGTGTAAAACAAAAGCAATTTACAATTTTAATTGGATTCATGCAAAAATTGAGATGTACTTTATGTACAGAAACACAGTGTAATTGGTGGAAAACTGATTTAAATCTGGCAGGTCAGTGTTGTTCTCGACGTATATTACATTTTTTGAAAAGCTTTTCTGTTCATGGTATTCCTGTTTGCGATGAAACATGCGACTCGCTATGGGGCCTCTATCAGCTCTGCATTAAGAATATCGAATAACTAAATACATCACGTTTTTTATATAAACACTATCTCTAGTAAACATAAAAATTATGTTTAAGTTGAAAATTGGTACAAACCTTGAATACACCAGGGTGAATGATATATCAAAATACCTCATATATAGGTACTTGGAGCGGAACCTTGTTTTATTTGTTGAAATGTCAAATATGTTCAATATGAACATATAGTCGTATGTGATAACATTGATGTATATATTGCAGTGAACACTCAGGAGTATCAGCAACTTACTCCATGAGTACCCAATGGTTTCTATGCAAGACAATTTAGACCGAAATGCTTGAAAAAGTAGCTAGTAGCATTGATCCGTACAATTCAAACCCATCCTGGTCTGCCTAACGTGCGTTCAAAGTAAATGAAAGGGAAGTTGTATTCCTGAAAAAAATCGTACCCAGTTGCTTGCTTGAAAATTGCTTCATACCTTTAATATGTTATTTCAATTTATTAATTGAAATAATATTATAAATCAGAAGTCCACATCAATCCTTGGAGCGCGAAATTTCCTATTAGAGGTTATGTGGCTTGATGCCCCACCATGTTTTTCCTATGTACTTTTTTACGCTGAAGTCAAATTCGGGGCTCGGTAGACAAACAAGAAAGTAATGCAGGCAGTAACATTAGGTGCGCACCCCTCAAAAATCAAAAAAAATAATTATAATGTGTAAGTTACTTTCGTGATTGCATATTTTACCTTAGTTTCGACTTCAGATTAGTCTTCAGAGGGAAATATTCAAGGGAAACTATAGACCCCAGCGCACATCACTTTTCATTCTTTTGAGGATATAAGGATCGCTTTTATGTGTTTAAACTAAAATTTTTTGACTGGCCTCCAATCAAAAACCTCATATTCGTATTTAGCGTAAACAAATACAAGGAGAATACGAGTACATACATATAGTATATGTTTTTTGAGCTTGTGTTATTTCTTGTCATTGATAAATAGTCGCTTGAGATAGTTACAGGATGCTTGGATTACAGATCGAAGAATACGCGAATTATTCAAGTTGGTCAGAATACCATTAGTAGATAGTCACAGACAACATGTATTCAGCGTTAGGGCGCGGTACGGAATGTGTGGCACCATTATCCCAGGACCTACATATGCCTATGCCTTTGGCTCTCTAGAGCAGAGCGTGGGGCCTGTCAAATCAGGTTGCTCGAGAAGTGAGGCAGTGGGAGGGAATGAAGAAAACAAAAGGAGGAAGGAAAGAGTTGAGGAGGAGTCTCAGCATTAGTAGCTTAGATTCAGGAATTTTAAATATATCTAGAAAATTGATTTGAAGCCTTGTTGATGACTCACTATTCACATTGCCTTCCGACAGGTCTCATATTCACTATTTTGTAGACAATTTTCTCGAAAACCTTTTAAATGCTACTGGTACAATTTAATTAGCGAAATTGAATCGTCAGGTACTTATGAGTAAAAAAAACACATTCTCTGTCACCTACTGTGACTGTACGAATGTATACTAAGTGACATATAAATCCGAACACCCAGTTTAAATGGTTTTATTTTAATAAAACTTTGTATAAGTACTTAATGAAGCATAATAAGTAAATGATAAAAATTTCAAAATGATTGCACTGCTTTAAAGCCCTTTGACCTTTAATAATGTGTGGATGCACCCTGATGTGCTACGCATTCTCCAACGCGCCTAGGCATGCTTCTGATCAGGTGGTCAATGTCCTCCTGTGGTATCTCATTCCAGGCAACCACCAACTCCTCCCGAAGTACTTCTAGAGTCTGAACAGGACGTTGCAAATTGAGCAATCTCCTACCCATCATATCCCACACGTGCTCAATTGGGGATAAGTCGGGAGATCTTGGTGGCCATGGTAACAATGTGACATCATTATGTTGAAAGAAGTCTATTGTGACTCTTGCAACATGTGGTCGGGCATTATCTTGTTGGAAAGTTGGATCTGCCAGGGTGTCAAGATAGAGTAAAAGATGGGGTTCTAGAACTTCGTGGATATAACGCTGCGCGTTCATGTTACCTCTGATGAAGATTAAAGGTGACCTGGAACCATAAGCTATAGCATACCAAACCATAACTCCAACAGTGTGATGAACGTGTCTTTCAATAAAAAACTGTGGATTCCTCCTTTTACCACGTCGCCTTCTAACCCTGGCACGACCATCGTGCATACTTAAACAAAATCGAGACTCGTCACTAAAGACCATACTGTTCCATTCCTGATCCCAGAGTGACCGTTGTCTGTACCTCTCAAGGCGATTACGTCGGTGTTCTCGAGTTAAAGGGAGGACCCAGTGTTTCCGGTATGAAAACAAGCCAAAACTTCTCATTCGTCGGTAAACACTTCGCATGCCAATAGGTCTTCCGTGTTCTGCAAACCATTCATTTGCAATGGACCTGGTAGTGGAGAAACGGTCCCTTAAGGCCAATAATCTTAGGCGGCGATCTTCACGGTCTGTTGTTCTACGGCGGCGTCCAGTGCCCCTTGCTCTTTGCGTACGGCCTTCTCGAAGCCATGCCTGACAACACCTAACCAAAGTGTCTACACTTCTTTGCACTCTAACTGCAATTGCCCGAAAAGAAAGTCCAGCTTCCCGAAGTCCCACTATACGGCCCCTATCAAACTCACTAAGTTGACGAAATCGTACAGGTCTCCGTACTCTAGGCATCGTAACCGATCGTAAAGGATGTCAAGAACCAAAATCCGCCAACGTTGATTCTTCACTGCGGCTGAAATATTCATTTTTAGAGCGTTAGTGAATTAAAAAAAGCAGTATAAAAATCGGAATGTCCAACTGATAAGGCTGAAAATTTTTTCACTTGTTATTTACAGTAAGATAAATACATTCACCAACTTTTATTAAAATAAAACCATTTAAACTGGGTGTTCGGATTTTATGTCACTTAGTATATTAAATGATGGCATTTATACACATACCATCAGAAACATTTTAATCAGGTATTGAAAACCAAAAATACTACAGTAAGTATAGTTAACAAAAAAATGTATGCCATTGATAAA